TTTTGAACGCCAAAAAGTTTTTTAAATTAATGTGAACTAATTTCCTTTCAAATTTGTTCAAATTCCTTTGAATCTCGAAATTACTTTGCATTAATTCGAAAGTATTTAAAAGTTCCAATGGGTGGAGCATTTCCTGATCAGTCAATTTCTTCTAGCATAACATGTAATGAATAGTCATTGTAGCTCATCATTGTATCTAATCTTAACCAGTTATCATTAATGTAGACCATATTTTGTTGCAATTTTTCGCTTTTAGAAGATATTAATAACGCCGTTCACTAATGACATCTGTTTAAATCAAGAAAAAGCGTAGTTTGCTTTTTCCTAGAGGTTTTTAACATCTTGTTTGATAGCTTCTTATTCAGTTTGCGTTTATTTCTGAAAAGAGTATTTGCGGTTGCATTTACACCATGTATAGGTGACATATTTTACTGCAATATAGAAAGCTAGTATGTTGTACCGTGACTAGAATTTAACTTATGATATGCTCCACAGAGTTTGTTCAAACAAGAGTTCATGAATTACCAGAGGCCCCAAATCTGAAAAGAGATTCTGAATGACGGTAAGAGAACAAAGTAATATCAGCATCAAAAACCATCCATCATCAAGGTCTTTTACATATCTATTGAATAATTGAAGAAAAACAGAATCGTTCTGTGCCGCAGACATATCAAAATTTGATGGTTTTTTCAAAAAACCATCGAATTTTGATATGCTCACGGTGTTAGATTTACTGTACTCCACAAAACTATCTTCTCTGTTGAAACTCGAGAATCATGATAGCTGTTAACTTCGAATTTCACTTTTACTGAATGCTGATCGTTCAGCAAATTTATATCTCTTCCACTGAATGGTTTGTGATTCGATTCAGGACCTTTCTGCTTGTATAGTGAAAAAACTGAAGTTTGTGAAAAATAGCTTCAAAAGTTAGGTTTTTTTAGATTTATCAGTTTTTCATAAAGAGAAATTTTCGTAGAACACTTAACTGTAAAATTTCGAAAAATATGTGAGAAGATGCAGAATGTTCCGCTGAATGCTCTGATGTTTTCAAAGCTGGAATCTTAACTTCTTATAGAATCTATTTTTGAATTAAGCAAATATCTTTCTACTTTTAGTAGATCGCAGTTCGACTAGAAAAATGCTGTCAGAGATTTAAACTGCAGGTTTGTAGAGAATTCAATTCTGTGTCGAATGAGACTGGAACCAAATCTTTTGAGCAAGTGCTCAAAATAGGAAAAGATCTTGACTCGTTCATTATAAGCCATCCGTTATAGTTTGGCTTTGCTATAAGCCACGTCTGCTAGAAATGGTACTGTGTCGATGCAGTGTGTTGACCAGAAGGATTTGACTTATAATGCAGAAAAGTTTACACATACTATCGACATAATATTAAGTCTCATTTTTCATTTACAAACATTTCTATTCTTCCCGCTGAAACATTTCAGATGTAGTTTAGGAAGAAAAAACGTTTTTTTACTACCGAAGATTTTTGAAATGCTTGGCCATATATTTCTCTCGACACGAAATGCTAAAAAGGTTTTCTGTATGTTTGTTCTCTCACCTGCTGACGATAGAGTCGAATAACGCGTTATCTTCAATCGACTTTCTGATTTTTTTACAATTTTTCGCAAACCAGAATCGATGCACCGTCGTTCACTATAATCATCAAAATTAAAGAACTTTATTCATAAATTTCTTACTAACGATCAGAACTGTTTAAACTACGACTAGTGATATTTTATAGTACAGTTTTTACAATCGTATTTTTTTGTTTCTCAATCTTCATGTAAAACATACACCCATCATTGTCATCATCCAACTCATAATCTGTTTCTAAATGATTTAATTGTATATAATCGTGTATCCAATATCGAAAATGACACGACTGAAATGGTGCATTACTTTTAAACGACAAAATTGATAATGCACTTAACGTTTTTATTTTCCTTAATATTAATGATAAAACAATGTAAATATTATCAAATGTAGTAAACTGGAATGTTAAATATTTGACATTCATAAATGTCTGATTGACCAATTCTTTAAATAATCGAATATTGAACGAACCAACATCTGTTAGTGATATACTTCCAATAGATAACAAACACTGTTGTGATACATGATGTGTAATGGCTAAAAATAAATCGTAAGTAACACATAATGAGTCTAAATTAGACATGTTGAATTTTATGAATAATTGTGATATTATATGACAGAAATGATAATCTTGAGCGCAAATGTTCAGAGTTTTCAGGTTAGAAATATTAACTACTTCTGAAAGTTTTTCGACAAATAATGAACAATCTTCATTAGTTAAATTGTTTTCCTCAGACGATCCAAATGTGAGATATGTAACATTTGGATATATACGTGTAAATGATGAGAAAGAATTTGATGATGTATCACACAATGTTATATCTAATGCTTTAACTTGCTCAAATGTATCGCTTGTAATGGGTATTGATGAGAAAGTTTGTACATCAAATGAAGTTAAATGCACGGATAAAACATTATGTAAAATTGTATAAACATGAAGTTTTCTATAGTTTGATAATCGACAATAATCAAATGTGACAAACCATTTATGATCATACCAAAATTGTGTTTTAAATAATGCTCCTAAGTCGTCAAGATTTTATTATGAACAAATTCATATTGAGACACATAGATATTAAATTCAAAATGTTTTAATAATGGCAAATAGGTGACAATGAGTTGTTCCCAGTTTTTTACCATTGATATAGTCCATGCTATAGTCTAAATGTTAAAAAATTCCTTTAACTTACCCCGACTCTTTCTTTAGATTGAAAGACTTACCAGAAAATTTTAGTTTTTTAAGCTTTGGCATGTGATGAAATATTAATTTTATCCGTTCAAACGATATACGAAAACTTTTAAATATAAGATGTGTCAAACATTGTAAATGTTGTAAATTGGTGATTGGTTGTTGATTATCCATATCAACACTAATCGATAAATGTTTGACTTTTTGTATGTGTTTTAATAATTTCATAATTTTACTGATGGAACATTCACCACTTATCGTTAAAGATTCAATATTTGTTGATGTTGTCATTATATCAAAGGAAATTGCGCCCGGAATCCATATTTTAAAGAATTTCATTGATAATAACTTGTTCCATCCGATTATTTTACAAATGGTCGTTGTTTCAGTATCTATATTATCATGGTTGTTCACGAGCTGTCAAAGAAAAAGCCTTCTCCATGAAAGTTTACGATTTTCAGAAGTGAACGAGTTCAGTATAACCATATAACCAGATTTACATGTAAATTCTTACTATAAGAGACCGCTTGTGGCACTATTCACTAGCGTCAATTCGATTGTCGAATGATTCTCTTTAATATTTTAAGGATTTCTTCCTACAAACTATTTTTCTCTCGTATTTTCCTTCTGAGCGGATGTTAATGTCTCAATGTGTCGTTAGGTGATCTATTCATCATTTTGTTCTTTACCTTATAATCTCTATCTTCTCTATACTATAACTTGGAAGGAAAAGAATTTAAACTAAAGCATTGTACTGTAGTTATAGATCCAACCGATAGGCTGGAATGCCACTTTATGATACTACTATCGGCGCCCGAAGTAAAGGCAAGTGGATGTTTTTTTGAATAACTCGAAGAGGATGATAGATAGAGAGTTGCGGTTTTCACTGATGAAAAGAGGACTATTTTCCCAGCCTTTTCACAAGCAAAAACCGGAGTCGAAAAAATTCTGAAGACAAGTTGGGCTATATATCTGAAAAAAACCGATACAGCATTACGTGAGTTTCCAGAGATATGAAGAGGTTTTCCAAAGATTCCAATAAAAAAAAATTCGCATGCTCAAAAGAAGAAAGAAATCGAAAAAATTTAAAATACAGCGTACAACCTAACCTAACCGGTAGGTTAGATTAGTTTAGGTTTTACACATGTATTATTGTTGAGATATCGTTTCAATTAAGTATTTCATGCCTCACCCAGCTCTAGAGAATAACGTTTGAGAATTCAAGATCGACTACGGCGCATTCTATGGTGATAAACCAATCGATTAAAACTATAATATCGTCAAAATCTAAGGTCGCAAACAGTGTCGCAGAGTGTTCGTTGACAGCTGAGATCGATCTAACTGTTCACCGACAGCGTATAAATAGAAATGCTATATGCCATCGTGATCAGCTCGTCGAGCACTACAACTTGATATATATGATGTGAAAATAACGGCGAATTGAGGTGAGAAGTGTGCGAATTTACGAATTCGTCGGATATGCTTTGGCATCTACGAATTCGTAAATA